ACTAGATACGCTGAAGTAACAATGCTTCAACCTTTATCTACCTATGGTTAGGATTTCAGTAAACTCTACACCGTATTGAAAAGTTTTTGCTGTTCTCCGAACTATCGATAGCATTTTGTCAATTTTATCGACAAATATCAATTATGGAGATGACAGTTTCATGATCTTTGCCTGAAAAAAGGCCGACTCCTGATATGCATATATCCCTTTTCCTCGTGAATTCAGAGTAGAGGCTTGCGACTGACAATTTATGTATGCGACGTTAGCGGCCGGTTCGTTATTCGTTATTCGAGTTTCAATATCCAACGGGCGCCAACAACCGATTCGATATTTAAAGAAGAATTTGTGGATTCCGAAATATTTTGCCTTCAAAAAGTACGAAGAGCTCAAAGTGCCAGTTCAAAATCAAAATCTGTCGCAAAAGAGAACTAGGCGCCGCTGAAATGACAGTGAGACTTTCCTGATCAATGTCTATATATTTAGATTACAGTTAGGGTAGTCAACGATATCAATACTATCAAAGTAATATAATTGAACAATTTTACTATCGACATGTACAGGAGATTTAAAGAGTTATCTTATTTTAAAAAAATCAACGAAAATCGACAGGCCAAATGCGTTAAATAGACCTTCCTGATCTTATGACCGACATGAAATTTTGCACATTACAAAATATGTACGTATTTAAGATAATATATTTCTTGATAATACTTCAGATATGATCTGCATCTATACCTAGTCTAAGGGATAGTAAAAGTTCATTCACATTGAAACACTAAGGTGGTCACAGGGTCAAGTAAGCCGTCTCCAGTAGTCTTTTGCTGTATATTTTGAATATCAAACTGGCTTTTTGAGCCCTCTCCCCCCTCGTAAATATCGAAGTCAAGAAAATTTACCAAATCCATATTGATATCATTTGTATTTATATGTTAGCTTACTATATGCATAATATTAAGAGGATTGAAATATAATGAAGGTCTATCCAACGGCTTGGGACATTTTACCTGTACATTTTTTATATCAAGTCAATTGAAATTATCTCTTTTTGGCTTTCCATAGTTATTTTCATCGTTACTAGAGTAAAATTAAAAATGGAAATGGGGAATGTGTCAAAGAGACAACAACCCAACCCTAGAGCAGACAACAGCCGAAGGCCACCAATGGGTCTTCAATGCAACGAGAAACTCCCGCACCCTGAGGCGTCCTTTAGCTGGCCCCTAAACAAAAATGTATACTAGTTCAGTGATAATGGACGTCACAGTGTCCATTTGTTTTTAAAATTGTTATAATTATCTATATATCATAAAGAGATAATTTGCTTTACGTAAGGGTTTATATTTGTACAACGATAATCCATGATGACGTGCAGGGGTCACAAAACGATTTCCTACATGTCGTTTTACATCCAACATTTATGTATTCATTTTTTATTGTTTCTGTTATGGTTTCGGTTGGATAATGTGTTATGTCTTATCGTTTGTAGTCCAAATAATTATAAAATAGCCTTTCAGTACCATCATTGTCATGAAAATTGTTAAGTCTGGTATTGTGAAAATAATTGTATAAAGCTCGAGATTGCATGTTCGTTACGTAAGTGCGTCAGCGTATGTGATGTCCTGTGGTGTCTGTCGTTGATGGAAGATGTTCGTTGTTGTTCTGCGGTTTGCATGTTGTGTCGAATATTATTTTATTTGTTTGTGCGTTTCTCTGTGATGAGTGTTCTTGCGTATGTTTGTGCTGTATTTCTGTCACGTAGTGTTGTCATTTTAGCGATATTTGTTAACATTGTCATATAAGCGGGAGGTTTGGCTAGCCATAAAACCAGTTTCAATCCACCATTTTTTCTTAAAATGTCATGTACCAAGTCAGGAATATGGCAGGTTTTATCAAATAGTTCGTTTCAATGTATGTTGGCTTTTGTTTTGTTGCATTTCAGTGTTCCTGTTGTTCCTTTGTTTTCCTCTTATAGTTGATGTGTTTCCCTCGGTTTTAGGATTCGTTTTCTCTCAATCGATTGATGACTTTTAAACAACGGTATACTACTGTTGCCTTTATTTATTCCTTTAAACTTAGAACATCAATTCTACATAATCTAATATTCTATCAAATAGAGCTCGTTTACAAATAAGAAAATGTGGTATGATTTCGAATGAGACAACTGTACACCAGAGACCAAATGACATGGAAGTTGAAAACATATAGGTCATCGCACATGATAAATAATCTCTTGAATTTCGAGCACCAGAAGATATGAATATAGTATTCTATACAATATATTAGCAAACAATATTGACATAATATTGTAAAATGGTTTGTAAACGAAATGTGAACTGATCAGAGCACAAAATTGATTAAAAGAAAATATCAGAAGATCAATTGTTTTTGTTTGTTATGTGTGTAGTGTAAATACAGCACAAAATAAAATAGGTTTACCAGCAAAAGAGAGGCGAAATACCAAATGGACATTCAAATTCATAAATCGAAAATGATTTGAAAACTTCATGCCAAAAAAAGAAAAAGAAAAAAAAACAAACATTAGTATACAAAACACAACATAGAAAAACTAAAGACTGAGCAACACGAACTCCACTCGAAACCGAGGTTGATTTCAGGTGCTTCGGAAGGGTAAGCAGATTCTGCTCCACATGTGACACCCGTCGTGTTGCTCATGTAAGTACAAACCCGGTGATAAGGCTTATTCAGTAGGTCACATTCAGGGCGGGATAGTGGTTACGACGATTCTGTTGTGTCGTAGTTCTCCTCTTATATTTGATGTGTTTTCCTCAGTTTTAGTTTGTAACCCTGATTTGTTTTTTTCTCAATCGATTTATGAATTTCGAACAGCGGTATACTACTGTTGCCTTTATTTAAAGGGTTACTCCTTACAAAAATAGTTCCAAACAAATGTTTAAGAAAAGCCTATCAAATCTTCCATTCGTTTGATGTGTTTGAGCTTTTTATAAGGAACTTTCCGTTTTGAATTTATCTAGGAGTTCGGGATTTTTGTTATTTTTTAAACACATTGACGTATCTCTTTCGTGCTTTGTCCTTTCTCGGTTTCGGATTAAATGAACATGGTAAGAATATTTATTCTTGCGTTAGAAAAAAATGTTTATCTAGTTGGCTACACATGCACCGACAAACATTTACGACTATTAAGTGGCATACCAGAAGCAAGATTTCTGGCATTATGCAGAAGAGACTGCAGGTTTGATAAATCAGGTAGGTTTCCTAAATCACGTTTTGAACTGGAAATTTCATTTTATGTTCAAAGAAAAGTTATTGGCTGAAATATGAAATATAAGTGATGAATGAGTTATCATTCTCCTGGTTTGACCGTATTTGGCTGTTCCTCTTTTTTGTGATTCTAAACGTAGGCAGTCTAGAAAACACTGCACAAACATTTCAGATCGAGCAACATATAAGACTATTTACTTTTTGGGGTTGAAGGTTATTTGACATCAGTTCGACACATTTATGATATTGTGTACTTAGATGAATTTTGCTATTGATGTCGATATTACATTTGTTCGGTACACATATCAAACTTAACAAATTACCGCACACGATGCGCCAATAGTTCTTCTTCAGTGATGCTTGAGTCCAAAAGTTTTGAAAATCAAAACCTTAAACCAACTTTGAAAAGCTGATATATCAGAAAAGGACTAAACGTATAGCTAAAACGGGAAAAGAAATGAGAGAGTTACATTCACTGAATTTATGTATCACAATAAGCTCGTGTATAGTTGTAACATTTTGCATTGGTGTTATCTTTGAAAGTACACATTTTTTTCAGTTATATATCTATATTTCCGATATTCAGGTTGTTCGAAAACGAACTTTGAAGAGAAGTTTTATTGCTTATCGGTTTACAACATATATGATATTATATGTTTGTTTTCATAAATCACAATCTTAACATATTTTCAACCCTTTTCAACATTTTCAACATTTCTGCATATTATTTTAAAAAGAAATATTCTAGGCTAGAGGTAACCAAAACAACAAAATTTATCAGCAATTCAAGATCTAGGAAATATCCATTTGACTAAAACCATTAATTGAATGGTTCGTGTCCTTGTAGAAGTTATTGCACTTGAATGATAATTTAATGTAAATTATCCCTTTTTCATACTGGTATATTGAAAACTATTCTCAATATTTTAAAGACACTGTACATTAAAACATAGATACGCAGGGCATGGTATAAACAAATAAATCGCATGCAAAAAAATATCTTTAGACTTTTGTGAGGAATTATTGCTATGTAACTACTTTCATTTTTGTTTCAAAGATATTCACCTCTGATAATATTGCACAAATTGATTTAAACTTTATTTGTTATGTATAGTCAGGGGCGAAAGTTAAAACAATTACTTTTAAAAATAAATGTAATCGTTATTTATATTTACACATTCATATGTGACATTGTGAGACAATATCAGAGCTAACAAAGGCTGTTTAACCTTTGAAGGAATATTACTATAAAAATAAATGAATTGTATAACTTAATATACAGTACGGTATATGACCATTAATAAAGGCTGACGGCGACCTTCTATTGTTAACATCAATTTCCTTTAATCTGGTTGATAGATGTCTCATTTGTACATGTAGTATTCATATGTTCACAAATATGTTCTATAAAATAACAATAAGGAGATAAAAGACCAGTATTATTACTTCAATTGCAACTCCATTATCTCAAGATTGAGATAATATGTTGGTTTGATTGTTAACATTTTCATCCACAATTATGAACAATTTCAAGTTGGTCAGTTATTCATGGAAAAGAGGTTTTCTATTGTGTTTTTAGCATCACATCAGAAAATTATAAGTATCAACTGTCATTAGGAATGTAAGGGTGACTGGCATTAAATTGGGGTCATTCATAAGTCCCAGATTTTTAAACTTGTGTATTGATACTTTTTATTTTTCTTGAGGGAATGATATATATGTTGTTACACTTATCCTGTTGTCTTTTAATTGTTTTTCCACAGTATAACATCTTCAACAGGATGGAACAGAAACACAGAAATGTTCTTCAGACTAATTTTGCCTACCTTATAAAAAATCTCCATAATGTGGAAGCAATATGTGATGAATTGCTTACACATGATATACTTACACCAGGGATGAATGATTCACTAAAGGTTTGTCAGAGAGAAAATACACAGCACATTAATACTATTTAGATAACTTAGATGTCGGAGATGAGGAATGATGGTTAAATAACCTGAAATAAATAATATCAAAATGATCTAATAATTCAGTAAATTTGTTTATATATAGGTACATGGACAGAAAGTCGGAGGACAAAATTGATAGGACAAATATTAGTGGAATTTGAGTTAAAAATGTCTTGACATAATTTCTATTTAAAAGAAAAAATCATACAAATGACTTTAGGAAGCCAGTCGATGAAAACACTTTTTTGACATATTGTTTTTCTGAATATTATTTGAACAATAGTATGATAAATCCTGTTTACAATGTTGTTTGTGTTATGAACGTTAAGGAAGAAAATATCAAAAAATTATCATTCAATGCTTTTTAAGGAGTATGTATATTTATTTATAAACTGAATTAAGACGTTTTGTCCAGTGACTTTCTGTCTTATATTAGATATATATATACAAAAAAAAGTTTCTTCTCAAGCGGTGTACAGAAAATTAAATACACAAAAAGAGTTTTAAAAGCAGCATTGTCTAGCGCTTTCATTCATCTTGGGACTTTTCAAGACTATGAACGTCGTTATAAAACTGCTTTTAAAACTCTTTTTGTGTATTTAATTTTTAATATATATATATATATATATATATATATATATATATATATATATATATATACATATATATACTTATATATATGGGCATTGACTTTGTCATTATATCTTGAATTTAGGTACATTTGTATATATCCCACTACAAACATTTCGTAAATAACTGAAACTGAAGCTAATGTTTTGTCATATAAAAAAAACCAAATCCATGAGCGGATGCAGTTTGTGAACCTATATCAAAGAGATGTGCGAACACGTTTCTGTTTACTTCCGAGCCTTTTGACTGCACTTACCACTTTTAGTTAGACTGAAGAGCATTACGAGCTATTCTAAACAGCTAGCATTTATCTTTGTCTACAGCTATAATCCTTACCCGTTAATCCGACGGATGTCACATGTGGAACAGCCTCTGCTTACCTGGATCACCTAAGATTTCCCCAATGTTTTTTTTTGTGGGGTTCGTGTTGCTCAGTCGATAGTGTTTGCCATGTATTGTCATTTGTTTTCGACTCATGAGTTTGAATATACCTTTTATATCTCCCGCCTCTTTTGAATGAAAACACTCAAATTTATAGTTGAAAAGGAATGAAATTAAAATTGTAAAGTGACATGTTTATGGGAGGCAGATTATTGTCATAGAAATATACGACTACGTTTACCTAATCTTGACGGAGGCATGAGGTGCACCATGATCCCCCTCTATTATAAACACCATATATAGCCATTAAATAAATGTTAAAATATTGTATAGCTAGTTTGAAAGTTATCAGATTTGAAATGTGAATCAAACAATGTTATGTCAGTCTGAACAAATCAGGAAGGAAACAAAACAAGTGGAGGAAGATGAGTTAAATTGATTACATATAAATAAGAAGATTTATAAAAATTTAATAATTATAGGTCAAAGTACGGACTTTATTGCGGAGCCTTGGCTCACACCGAACAGCAAGCTATAAAGGGCCCCAAACTGACTAGTGCAAAACAATTCAAACAGAAAAACCATGGGTCTAATCTATATAAAAACGAGAAACGAGAAACACTTATGAACCACACCAACAAACGACAACCACTGAACAACAGGCTCCGGACTTAGGACAGTTGCATAAAAATGCAGTAGGTTTAAACGTTTTAACAGGCGCCAACCTTCATCCTAACCTACATGCCTTGAAATTTGGTTCATTTGGAAAACATGCAGCAGAAATTGAAAGAGTTAAAGTTTAGATTGTATAGATTTTTCTTGCATTTTGAACCCTCTCTATAAGGTATATTCTTTCTTCGAATATGATTGCAAAATTTGCATTTTGTATACGCACTTTCTACGTATCCCAATATAGCAGTATATTCTAAATTCATTATTATTCAAGTAAAAACAGTATATAATTGTAACATATAAAGAATGCACCAGTATGTTTGCAACTGCAAGAGTAACTATCTAGCAATAAAGATGCCATAAGCAAGAATTTCACCCATGATGTATATTTTTAAATGTTACATTACAGCATAAAAAGCCGAAGCCTGTTGGACAGACCAGGGAACTTTTATCTATCTTACCAAGGAGAGGAATGAAAGCTTATGAAAGTTTTATTAAAGCGCTCTGTGAAACAGGGAATAGTGAAGTTGCTGATTACTTGATAGAGAAGGATGGCTCTAAAAGAAATGAAGTTAATTCAGAAAATTCAAGAAAACCAGATACTTCCTTGTCAAAGCCTGAAGATGGCAACGGTGATATACAAGAGACAAAACAACAAAACTCCGAAAATCCAGAGAAAACAAACAAATCAGAATCACCAAATATACAAGGTATGACAAATATGAGATGGAGAAGAAATGGAGAAAACACCTGCATTTATTTTTTCAGCATAATATTGATTTAAAAATTGTTAACTGGACCTCCATATTAGCTTTAACATGGGATGTCAAACTTGGTATGTTGCTTTGAAAGTATCATATCTTTTTGCATAACTCTTGAGTAAGGAATATTAATATTTTGATGAATAAGATCTGAATAAAATTATTATCCTTTTCTTGAAATACACCAGAATCATGTCTCGACTTAAAAAAAGATCATAGAATCTGTGGTTTTGTCTTTGGAGAAATAAATAAAAATATAAATATAAAAATACTAATTTGTACTTTAAATTGTAAAAATATCAGGAAACAAGCATCAATTCCTCCTTTTATTAATCTTCAAAGCTAATGATTCAAATAATTTAAACTTCATGTCATCATAATCAATATGATCGTACCAATATTTGATATTCATACAGTCATTAACTAAAAAGTGAAATACTAATAATAAAAATACCGAACTCCAAGGAAAATTCAAAACGGAAAGTCCCTTATTAAACGGCTTAATTTAATTAAGTGTTGTCTCGATCATTATCGTTCAGTGTGTAAGATAAAGGCAACAGTAGTATACCGCTGTTCAATAGTCAAAAATCGATTAAGAGAAAAAAATCCGGGTCACAAGCTCAAACACATCAAACGAATGGAAAACAACTGTCATATAAATAAGTCATATAAAATTATGATAATAATTTGTATGCTAATACTGCATCTCTAAATAAAGGCAACAGTAGTATACCGCTGTTCAATAGTCATAAATCGTTTAAGCGAAAACAAATCCGGGTCAAATCCAAGAGAAAAACAACGGAACAACAGAAACACTGAACTGCAACAAAAACAAACGCCAACATATATAGAAACGGACTATATGATAAGACCTGCCAAATTCCTGACATGGTACATGACATGTTAAGAAAAAATGGTGAGTTGATCATGGTTTTATGGATAGTCAAACATCCAACTTATATGGCAATGTTAAAAATACCGCGAAAATGACAATATTACGTGACTATAGGAATACAGTATAAATAAACTCAAGAACACTCAGGACAGAGAAACACATAAACGAATAATATAATAGTACATTACAACATGTAAACCACAGAATAACAACGGACACCTCCCATGAATCCACGACAGCACACAGGACACCACAAACTAATTATAACCTATAGGTCACACGATTGTATGAACGCCACAAAAAGTGACGTTTTTTTTGTGACGTTTATATCATCACAGGTACATTTCTAAAAACAGAATAGATTTGTTTTATTGTAGACACGTACACGTACGAAAGAAAGTTTGAATATCAGTAGCAACACATAACATACAAATCATCTATATCAACGGGTATTATAAACAATATTTATTAGTGATGCATGTTTTAGTTTATCATAGAATGTCTAGGGGCTTAATGAAATACCAAAAAATAGTTTTTATATTTTTCAGCACGATCATATAGAACATATTCATAACTTTCGTTCTTTTGTTGTTTTTTTTTTTTAATTGTTGTTTGTATCTTAGTCGTATTTCGTTTTATCCATGGCATCGTCAGTTTGTTTCGACTCATGAGTTTGAATATCCCTTTGGTATATTGGGCCTCTCTCCGATGATATTAAAAACTATAAAAACGGTAATAAATGTCCTTTCCTAGATTTAGACATTTAAGTTTTACACAAACTCTACACAAAAAATTTAACAAATTGAACGATTTTTAGTTCCCTAATTTTCCTTTTTTGGACAGTGATATTCCTTTAGCACCATCTTACAGCGTTTATGTATTTCAACTAGTTCGCTATGCCCGTGTCTGTAGTGAGGTTTTGGATTTCAATGAACGTGATCTATGCATTATTGGTAAATTATTAAGTCAGGGCTTCGTAATCACAAATTTCCTGAAACCTTTACTAAATTCTTTCATAGATATAAATATTTCGTCTGGCAGTTTGGCTGTACCTGTAGAATACGTTTTTCAGACGGGATATCATATCCTAATGTATAGAGATGTTGTCAACTGAGCCCGGAAATATAGATACAATCCGGGTAAACTTATCGATCCTTAAAAAAAACTTTTTGTATGTTGGGTGTGTACTGATTGATATTTTAGCCTTAGATTCATGATTTTTTTTATTAGTTATAATTAACACTGAACTAGTTGTTAGTAACTGCTAAAACTCTCAGATCTGCATTTTGTGTCTTTTTTGTTTTTGGGGAATTTTCATTTCATTTCCGCGTCCGGTCTGTGTTTTTGTTAGTTGTTTTTCTGCTTTATACCAGTCTGATTAGTTGAGCCCTTTTGGACAGATCTTTATAGTTTGTTCTCATGTTGTACTGTATCACTCCTGTCCCATGTTGGGTGGAGGGTTGGGCGCCAGCAAACATGTTTAACCCCACCATATTCTGTATGTGGCCGTCCCACTTCAGGAGCCTGTAATTCAGTGGTTGTCGTTTGTTGCTGTATATCATATTTGTTTTTCGTTACTAAATCTGGCCTTTAGTTTCTCGTTTGAATTGTTTGACATAAAATTTGTCATTTCGGAGCGTTGTATAGCTGACTATGCGGTATGGGTTGTGTACATTGTACAAGGCAATATGGTGACCTATAGTTTATAACTTTTGTGTCGTTTGGTTTCTGGTAGAGAGTTGTTTCATTGGCAATCATACAACATCTTTTTTTTTATGTCAGTCAGTCAGAATTCTTTTAACCTTGACCTTGATGTCATTTACATGGATCATAATAATGTTAAGTTTTTGTGATACTTTTAGCTTAACCTTTACTAGTATCTTTTCAACATAAAATCAATTATGACAGCAAAGCAAACTAAATGATTTGCAAGTGTTACAGCAAAAAGTACTTTAAAATAGATATAGCGAAAATATTCTTATTTTGGGTAGTTAGCTTTTACACAGTAACTCAGTTGAATATTGTTACAACAAAGGAGTGTCGAGAATTAACATAAATCTTTAAGATAGTTCTTATATCTGCCATTTTTATTCTTTGATTGGGCAGTAATGCTCTTCGTGGTTTTACAATCTAAACCACAAAATGTAAGACATATATTACACGTTGTACAATAATTGTATTGTTTTTTTGTCAATGTGTTTAGGAGAGATGATTTATCGCAATTAGTTTGAAAGTATTGCAGATTGTACAGTTTTTTAGTGCAAAAACAATCCTTACAATACTCCTGATGTAATCAAAAGTCGCTGTATGAAATGTTGTTTGGTAGGACAGTATATATTGTTATGCTCAACTTGTAGATTGGCCAGATTTACTCAACGGTTTGCCATCTGTGAAGAAACGTGATATAGTAAAGTGCAGTGAAGACTCATTTACACAGATTTGTGAAAGCAAAATCGGAAAGGTAATTAGAAAACTAAACAAAGCTGAGAAAAGCTGTTACATGTAACATGAAACAATTGTCCGATTTAGGGATTATGTATTATCTTACTCTTGTAACACAGGGGGCTACTAAAACTATGTACATGCCGTGGGAAATAAGAACAAATGTTTTACCTTTATGAAATGAGATTAAAGGTTAGTATTTGAAGAAGAAAAAAAAAACCAAACAAACAAACTATGGTCCGCGTATTCTAAGTATCTACAAGTAAATGATATAATAAATCGTCCAAATTTAAACAAATCCCATGTCAGATTTGAATCCATGTAAACACAAGGATGAAAAAGTGTCAGGAACAAAACTATTCAGTACAGAGAAACTGCATTTTCAGTTTTTCACCCTTTCATTCAATATTTCGTTTGCCAATTAATCAACAAAATTAGGTTCAATAAAATAACCTACAATAAAACGGTGAACTTCTGGTATTTATTTTATTATTAGGTTTACAATATGACAGGCAAAAAGAAAGGAAAAGTGTTAACTATATCCAATGTTCAATGTTCTGATCAGAGCACAGAAGCAAAAGCAGTAAACAGGTGTAGAAGCTGTGTGGACTTTGATAAAACTTCTCTTTCACAACTGTTTAATTATATGCAGTATGAATCAAAACAGAGTTATACAAAAAGAGATATTTCAGAGGAGGTATATCATAATGTTCAGTATTTAGAATTATTATAAAGTAAATATGCACGTTGAAGGCAGTGCTGTTGTCAATGTGTATGATTGAATACTTAATTTTATCAAAAATCTTTATCTCAATGAAAAACAAATTAAAACAAAAAAGAATATTACAAAAGAAGAAGAAGGCTAACATGTGTTTGCAGGTCAGCTATTCAGGGTCAGGAATACTCTAGCTTAAGGTCTGTTCATCTATTCAGCTGGCACTATTTAGTGCAAATATCGATAAATGTAATCATTTGTTTTACTGGACTTACGAAGTACTGGAACCAATATTTAGGTTAATATGACGAATCACGTTTTAATATCGTAGTCGTTTGCATCTTCTTTTGTAAGGTAAAGTATCAGTTGCTGCAATGCAAAAGTAAATTTGGCATCTTTTTATACTTTTTTCAACAGGATATGAAGACATTTCTTGCTAAGCAGTTAGACAATGAAGATAATTCAACTTTTGATAGTTTAGTTATAGTATTTTTCTCTGGTGGAATGGAATTTAAACCAGATTTCATATATGACAAAGATGGCAAGGAAATTGACAGAGATGGCATACTTGAAATGATCCGACAATCGAAAGCTTTTAAAGACAAACCAAAAATTGTCATTATCAGAACATATGATTTTCAAGGTATGTAAACTTCATTTTATTGTATGATGTGTTATAACATGTTACAGTTAGGCGAAACTGTTTACTATTTTTAAATATTTTATTATTATCTTACCTCCTATACATTTCTAGGAATATTATTGATTAAAAGCCGAGACCGTGTATATTTAATATGGGGTTAGTAGGCGTGGTTTATTTTAATACACGGTTAGTAGTGGTGTTACGTCCCTTTATAACAAACAACACGCCGTTGAGGAAAAATTCTGAAAAGTTTCGCCCATACAACAGATGAACAAATTGATTATGAACGATTGAAATAGTTAAACAGAAAGAAAAAAGTGTATTGGGATATTTTCCCTCAGTTTATTGTTATATTATTATTGGTTTTGTTTTCATCAGAATTATGTTCCTATCAGTCAACAATCTTATTTTAACTTTTATGGGGCCTCGATGGCCGATTGGTCTAAGTAGTCCAACTACTGTATTACTAGCCTGTCAACACTGAGGTTTTTTAGTTCGAACACCACATGTAGATGGTGTGCTCAACTCAGATCTTTATTGACAAGAATTGTCAGTTTTCTTGCCAAAGATCGGTGGTTCTCTCCAATCACGCCGGCTTCACCCACCAGTAAAAAGTAAATGCCATAAAAATAGCCAATAGTGCTAAAATTGGCGTTAAACACCAACCAATTAATCAATATTTTAACTTTTGTATTGATTGTGTTCTCGGATTAACAGATTTTTTGGTTCTTTACTTTCTTTGTTATTCAAAAACTTGCTGGGTTAATATTCAATTTATATGTAAAAGGCAATTCTACATGACATTTATAATTGCCTCTTAATACATCAATGCATCATATTATCTATCACAAGTCAATAAATTTTACCGAAATGTCAACTTATATTATCTCGACAAGTTGTTTTAGACTTATCACGGTGTTGACTGTCTATTTTTGCCATTCTGCTGATCATTTAATGTAAAAACATTATCAAAATTAGATGATTTTTTACATCGACATGTCCAGTTAGTGGTTTCCTGAACACCTCCGTCGATAAAATGGGGCTGCAGTTTCCTTTAGTGGCCTAAATCTCCCTCAAGTACACAAAAACACAATGCAGAGTCCGTACCTATATCACTATGGGGAGTTTATATACCCTTATCTAAAACACCAAACCTAAGGGTTGCCAGTTGTTTCACATAATTTGGGCTTGACTCTGTTTTGCCAAGTCTTATCCCTTTTTGACTGACTTTTTGATCAGCAACCATTCCAACAGTGACCTGCTTGGGATTTCTGTGTGAGTTCACTCCAAGTTTTAACACCCATTTTGGTTCATCCTTCCTTGTGTCAGTGGGTCTACACCTTCCAGTCATTATAGTCCCCTCGAAATTAAATTCCTCTCAGGAGGCAGGAATCTATTTTAATCTCAATTCACTAGCGGCAGGTTTTCACAATCTCAGATCTTTAGATATCAGAATAGTCATTTTATCTTTTATTTTGAAGATTATGTCCAATTACTGACTGAGTGTAGATTTGCATGGCGGTATGCATAAGAGGAGACGAACCCTTTGTACGCACCAGGTCTCGCTATTTTTGGAGGAGTTCATTCTCTTTCCTCAGTTTTTATTGTAACTTTGATTTGTCTTTATGATTCTTTAGATTTGAACATCAGTAAACTTGTGATTCCTTAATTTTTCAAAATTGTCCTTTAACTCATATATATATATATATATATATATATATATATATATATATATATATTGCGGTGTTGTCTCGATATCCTAATAGCATGATTTCGAATCCCGGCAAGGTAAGAACAAATATTTGCTTCCGCAAATTTGCAGATTTAACATTGCTGTTCTGATATTTAGAGTAATTATGAATATAATATGTGTTTTCAGCCGTATAATACCTTCACTGTTGATCCAATGGATGGATCTGTCGTAGAGTTGTCACTTGTTTAGACGTATTTATATATATGTAACACTCAGAAACGTGTCCATCCCCCCAAACGTGTCCGATTCCCCCAAACGTGTCCACATGATGTCACTGAACTGCAAAACATGTCTTAATGTAAAAGGGCGCCAAAGCGTGTCATTTGTATGAACGCCCAAACGTGTCCAATCCCCGAATCGTGTCCATATCAAGCTTTTGTTTTCTTTCTTTTACTGAACGATCATTCGTGTCTATTTTATAAATACGTCCGTTTTTTGGTTATTGCTATTTCATTAACGTATACTCATTTTACAATTTTATTAAAAAATAAAAATAAAGTACTTTAGGTATATAACCTGGGTTAAAGTTGGGCGTCTGTTCAGTTATGTCGGATGTAAATGTAAGCAGCCACGCTCAGTTAAATTGTTGATATTAAATCAGATACCTCGTGTAGGGATATGTCCCTTTCTCTGCAGATTAAAATCTTTCTAATAACTCTTTCATGGTGCCATCAGTTGTATTTCGGATAGCAACATTTTTGTCCGTATTCATTTTTTCCTAGTGGCAGTTTATATTTCTGCCTCTATTACATAACGGAGATTGAAGTAGTTTCTTACTGAAGTCATAAAAAAATCGGTCTTTAATCGCTCTTAAATTTTTTAGATTAATATCCCAACTAGTGTTAATCCCGAATAACCGTACAAATTTAGGCTCAATCCTAAATTCCCGGTATAATGATAGAACCTATCTACAGTATTTATTGTTAATATGATGTCGTTCAAATAATGCATGAAATATTTGACACTTGACGTTATGTCTTTTGTTCGTGTGTCATTAGTGAAGCTCGAAACTTAAAATTTATTAAAAAACCTGATCATTGATAACCAGTATATGATTTGAAGAGCTTTTAAAATATCAGAACTGTTGAAAAAAGGGAAGTCAGTTCTGCTGAAAGCCCGCTGTGCAATATTCGCAGACAGGATTAATATAAAAGGCATCATCGGAGTTTATTAGTACAAAATAATTCATTTAGTCAACTAAATGAGCATGAAATACTTGCAACTGGACAATAAGCAATTACAGTCAAAAGTTAATTCATATATAAATGAAATTTGCAATTATGATAATCATTAACCACCGGCATTGAACAAACTAATGCTAATAAATAACCACTTCATCAACTGTGTACCCAATCATGGAATTGCCGTAAACGTTATTGACGTCATTGAGGACGTACATGTATTAGCGACGTGAGACGTTTTGGCGTTTAACAGTGGACACGTTTTGGCGAATAACAATTATCGGACACGTTTGGGGGTTATGAAATCGGACATGTTTGGACTATATTGAATGAATTGACACGTTTGGGGGGATCGGACATGTTTGGGGGGATGGACACGTTTGAGAGTGTTACATATATATATATATATATATATATAAAGTGCCTAGAAAATCAACCTAACGATGTTAGAGTAGATTTGTTTCTTTACTTCCTCCCCGAGCGGGGCTGGAACCTGTATTTTTTATTTCTTACTTCTACGACAACACCACCTAGCATTGCGCAGACACCTTATCCCCTCCTCTAACTATAGCTGATAAAAATCAGCTTTCGTTTCGGGAGGTGTTACCTTCTCGTAGGAATTAAACAAGGATATCTGATACAATACACGAAGTATTCTTTCAGTGTACAGAAATGATCATCTACTCATCTCTTCAGTATAATTACAAGATGCTAATCTATTTTTAGAAGCATACAATCACTGTAAATTAATATATGTATATGTCTGCCTATGTGTAGTGACAACTGCAAATTATACCTTGTCCATCGGATTTCTTATGATTAAGAAATACCAGGCGTTAGAATATGTATAAAGTGCCTAGAAAATCAACCTAACGATGTTAGAGTAGATCTGTTTCTTTACTTCCTCCCCGAGCGGGGCTGGAACCTGCACTTTTTATTTCTAACTTCTACGACAACACCGCCTAGCATTGCGCAGACACCTTATCCCCTCCTCTAACTATAGCTGATAAAAATCAGCTTTCGATTTATATATATATAGGATTCAAAGTTTGGTGACTATGTTAAACATCTATAACATGGAACGTACAACAAAGACAACTAAATCTGCCTTATATCGTGACCTTCATCTAGAAATTGACAACGAGGGTCGGTTGAGAAAAAAACTTTACTACGAAAGAGATGATTTCAGCTTTCCAATTGTGATCTCCCTATTATTATGAAGTAACATTCTAGCAGCGTCTGTATACATATGGAGTAAACATATTGCATTTGATATGATATTCCAGAGCTTGTGTTTCCCATAATGATTTCTTTGATATAGAGTTGCTGCTTACAAGGAAACTATTGGACCAAGTGGTAAAGTTGAAGTCGACCATCAAGAGTTGATTGACCGTTGTCGGATATCTGTGTTACAATTGTTTCCAATTTTCGTAAGCAGATTGTGACATCACCCTAATAAGACTCATCAGCGAATTTATAGTGATCATGAGCAACACGATAGATGCCACCATGGGAGAATGATAAACTTACCATTCGGGAGCTCCTTATATCACCTACAGTATTTGGGTGGGCTGGTGTTGCTCAGGCTTCATTTTTTATGCAGTGTTTTGTGAACTTGTTTGTCTTTTCATCGGCTTTAGTTTTTTTTTTTTTGCCATATCTTTGTCAGTTCATCTCGAGTAAGTTTTAAATTTTTCCTTGGTATCTTCTGCTATATTTGTATGCCAACTCTCTCGTGACAACAGGACGTATGTATTCTACAACACATATCTTATACAATTGTATCTTGATTAAGCATTTAACACTCATTTCTTATGTAAAAAAGTGGATCAAATTTAATATTGTATGCAACAATACATGCTATTCAATTATCCATGCTCAACCTAGCATATTCGAGAGAATCTGCACCTACTAAAATGCAGAATGATTTAGGATTAAGATGTCGCTGTCAAAGTTTGATTTTTCTCAGAAAGAGTAAGAAACGTTGTAATGAAAACAGTACCATATTTGTGTATTCATGTATGCAATCCTATTTTTTTCGGCATCAGGTTTATATACAAGTTAGCAGAAAATTATTTTTGCTTTGAAGATGTAATCAGTAAACGAAGTGTAGGAAATTGTACGCACATTGGTGATGTTATACAAAACATTCAGAAAATAACGAAAAGGAAATTGGCTACTGCAAACTTAAGAAAAATTAAAATTAGATTTTGGACACAGACACAGTAGTACATCGATATTTTTACTTATTCATTTTTCTAATGTTGTAAGGATTTTGCTATTTATTTCATACTAAACAACAGAAAAAACGCACCACTTTGGAGTGAAAATATCCTTTGCATATACCTATTTTAAAAGTGATTGAAAAGATTCAAAATTTTGACACAAAGTTTTTGAAGAGATAAACACCAAATTCTGTGAAAATAAACATTTTCTTAATGTTAAGTTTTGACATTTAAAAATAACACACATTTTTACACCTCCCCCTCCAAGACAAAATTGAAAAAATGTTGCCAAATTTATGTGAAGTGTATCTTTTGACATAAACAACGAAATAGACTTTTTGACATTGACATATTTAAGACTTTTGAAATCTCCATTGCAGCCGCTAAAATAAAAAATCTCTGTAAACCTTACAATCATTTCAAGGATATTCTTAAAGTATCTTAGATTTCTACAAATTTGTAGCAAAAACCAGAAATGTGAAACAACAATATATGGTAAGACGTGGTGCGTTATGTGTGTTGTAAAGTATATTATAACATCTAAATATGTTTTAAATAGTCATGACTGGATAGCCGATAGTCCTCGAGAAAAAAGTATTATGCAGTTAGTCATATGGTGAATAAGTTCAAATTTTCAAACTTTAATCGTACATTGAGAGGAAATAACTTGCAGCAAGACACTAATTGTTGCTGTTTATAAAAAGAATAGACACTGTGATAACTCTTATTTTTTGTACCTGGCATTATATTGTTATCTTAAACATAAAATGTGCGAAATGATTGATGATTCATAAAGGAAAATATATACATTCAAGTGATTTTTACTGTTTAATTGTAATTTCATCTTTTGCTGTGATCAATGTGATTATTTAGTATCTTAAAAGAACTTAACTTATAGACAAACTTTGCTAATATTTAACCTATATTTTCCCCTTTTTTCAGAAGAAACAAATACGTTTGATGTTCTAGATGCTGCTACACATAAACTGCATTTTTACAGCAAAGAGCCAAATAAAGATGATCTTTTTGTGGTGTCATCTCAACCCAGGACAAGTAAGGAAATTAATAATTGAATGTCATATAATGTAGTAAATAAAGAAGTGTGACATGATTGTTTTTCTTTCTAATGTTGATATAAAGCAGATGTTATTTTCGTTTGCTACATATTAAAGGCAGCTGTGAACATTGCAAAAACATGAATATACATTCAAATGATTCAGCACTTCTGCAGAAACAGATTTCTGTTTCAAATCAGATAAAGTAAACCTGTATAGATTTACCATACGGGCCATAAATTTAAACAAAAGATGATTTGGGCATGTGGGCAAATACAAAGAGAAGCAAAAGATACCGAATGGATATTCAAACTCATAAGTCGAAAACAACCTGACAATGCCATGGCAAAAAAACGTAAAAAGCCGAAAAGACAAACAGCAGGACACAAAACACAGCATAGAAAACTAAAGACTGAGCAACATGAATTTAGAAAGTTTAATCAGTTTTTTATCAGTATACATCTAGCAATTTCCTATCATGCCTATTCGATATGCTATATATATCTTTATAATTTTTAACATATGTTTTAATTATTCTTGAGTAACAATAAAATATATGTTTAGAAGTGTTAAATATTGTCATGTTTGAAAGTAATAACATATGTGTGAATATTTTTTTGTGTTGTTTATATCAACCTGACGTATAGTATTGCAGTTTCTAAATCAGTATCAATATTTTTCTCTTAGATAATTAAGTAGGTATTATAAGACATTTGTAGTAAGAAACATGTTCAACGTAAATTTTGTCATTTAATAACAAATAACAACAGTTTGTTTTGATATAACTATTTTATGTTAGGAAATTATTTTTATTTAAGTTAAAGGACCTTGGATTATTGGAGATGGAATGAACGGATCATATTTTATACAGGCGTTTATTCACGTCTTTAAGAAAATGGCTCATGAAAAATCATTTATGGAAATGATGATAGAGGTAATAGTATAAAAAAAAAACTTTTTGATATACTGCACTTTCTTCTTCACCTACAATGTGTTGACTCAGTCTCAGTTAAACCCTGTGCCTGCCTATTATAGAAGGGAATTCTGAAATATTTTCCAATGGATTGAATGCCTTTGCAGGAAGTTTAATATTCAATTCATTCTTAATCTTAACAGGACTGTAGATATCAAAGATGCATTTTGCTTTCAGGGAGCTGTATCCCTGTGAGAATAAGCATACACAAAATTAACCCCAGTCCTATATAAAGGGGAGATAATGAAACTTATTTTAATGTTGCTATATATAGTAGAAGTCTTTTGTAAGTGCAACGCCTCCTTATCGACATGACGGATATAAATCAAACGTTACACAGTTGTGAAACACAACATAAGGATATGCATTAACAAAAATAATCGTGGTCCAACACGTCAAAGGGGCGATTATCAAATATACTTACTTCAATATACTGAAACTATAGGGGCATAGGGTATCTAATTTAAAATCACCACAGATCTGTTTTGTTTTGTTTTTGTTTTTTTTGTTTTTTTATGATTAAAATGTATTTAGAACATACATATGGATGGGAGAAAATATTTTAAAGTCCAGTTATGAAAATGGGAAGTAAATTAAACTTGAATTTTGATTCTTTAAAAGAACATCGGTAAGTACACCTAATGACTACCAGACAACACCTTCATTGTAACTGAAAATAATTCTGTTTTTGAAAAATAACGAAATAAAAAAATCGTGCAGGGGACATATTTTGTGGGATGACTAAGTGCTCACAAAGCTAATTAGCTTTGTCATATATATATATATACAAGTCTAAATTGAAAACAACGTTCAAACCTATGATTGCGTTGGATAAAAACCGCAATTTTTATACGTGTGCATGCAAAACAAATTTCTTGTTAGAGGGGTCTAAATACAGCACAAACAACATTTTCCAAAAGACCAAAAAGTGAAAAAGTATATTTTAACAAAACGCATTTGACTAACAGGTCGAACAACAAATGTTCTTAAACCCTGCTGACTGCCATTGGCGATTACCAAAAAACTGATCACCGATGTAATAAATAGATCTTAATTTTAATTATAAACTAAACAGAATAAAACAATTTACTTGCGGAAAAGATGATATACCGCAAACAAAAGGTGCAAACGTTTTTGTACACCATATCCGGATTTCGACAATTAATGTCTCTTCAGTGATGTTAGGAAACGAAACGGTATTTGGAAAGCCATACAATTTACCTCAATTTAGGATAGACTCTTGAATTTTGAAGAGTCAAAATAGGATGAACGGATCATATAAACCCGAAGGCAAATATAATACAAGCCCAAACGAAAAAATATAAACAAGTCTAAATTGAAAACAACGTTCAAACCTATGATTTCGTTGGATAAAAACCGCAATTTTTATACGTGTGCATGCAAAACAAATTTCTTGTTAGAGGGGTCTAAATACAGCACAAACAACATTTTCCAAAAGACCAAAAAAGTGAAAAGTATATTTTAGCAAAACGCATTTGACTAACAGGTCGAACAACAAATGTTCTTAAACCCTGCTGACTGCCATTGGCGATTGCCAAATAAACGGATCACCGATGTAATAAATAGATCTTAATTTTAATTATATACTAAACAGAAAACAATTTACTTGCGGAAAAGTATATATATATTTATGGGTTCCTTTATAAAGTTAGGTAACTCTATTGATTATGGGATTGTTTTTGACTTTTCAAAATTTGGTGTTTATTTACAAATATTTTAATTTTGGATGTAACATGCCTTCTGATTGGCTGAAAGTTTTATGTTTATCAGCTCGTAGACAACCATTTTGTCATGTGACCGTGAAGTCATCAACGTTTTATTCATGATTTACTCCTTAGAAATGGAATGTAGAATTAAATTATAAGAAATGACTATAATATTTTTCTGTCTATTCGAAATAACCTAAAAAATTAGGTGCACACTTTTAAATAACCCACTAAGCGGGTTATTCAGTGTGCACCACAATTATGATGTTATTTTGAATAGACAGAAAAAATATTACAGTCATTCCTTAATTATTTACAATTTGTTTAGATGCGGCAGCTTAAAATTTGTCGTTCATTTACTGTATGATGGTCATTATGATAACTTGAGTTGTTGAGTTGTTTTTATATCTCATCCTTAAATGGCCTTTACAAAGATTTTATAGAAATTTGTCTGAGCATTTATATGTATGTCGATTAGCTCTACTGCATCTTCCTGAAAGTATTTACCATTTCATTTTCAATTTTTAGTACAAAAATAATACAAATTTGGTTATTGTTGCTAACTACTATTAAACATAATGTCACGGTCGTATATTTGTTCTTACTTCCTTTTGACCCTACGGGTTGAATGGGCTATAAAAATATGGTCACCTGACCATCTTTTTGAAGGTAAAATAATTGATATTATTACATGGGTACATTTTCTCTTGTACAAATAACCTGGATAGTTAATCCTAAGAGCAAAAGTATTGAAAAATCAAAGATATTAAGTCTTCGGGAGGTAAACAAATCTAAAGGACCTAATTGGAAGAACCAAATTCCTTAAAGGTCAGCGTTGCATGAGAGAGTTACATGATCATGAGGGGTATCTGTTAAAAATGTACAGGATGTATCAGAATGTATCCCAGTTCGGTCCGACCAGGGATATTTCATTCGGAGTAGTTGATTGGAAATGTCTGAATGTTAAAGCCCATGCAAGGGATAAATCATTGACCTGCTTGATGGCTGAATATCTCCCTTGTACAACATATCCTCTTTGTCAGCATGGTCAGTGACTGTCAATATTTTCCTACCCTTTCCCGTTGTCATGCCTGTTCTTTTACTTCACAGAACCTGCTTATGTTATGTTTTGTTTCATTGCTTCTTCTATTTAATAAGCACGAATTGTCAATCAAAATCAGACAATCATTTTTATTGTAGGCACTTCATAACAAAAATACCAGACACTTAGTATATTGAGATATTGTCTTGTAAGGTATTTGTTTTCGTGGAGTTATATTATAGAAGAAAGATGAAGGATAGGGTAACCAATTGTGATATTTGATTACAATACTAACATATTGTTCGTTGTTGTCTATAAAAATCACAGTATATTTATGTCATTATATTCCTTTAAAAATGAGAACAAAATATATTATCATATAAGGTTAGATTTTTTTATTCTTCATTATTAATAATTTTATAATTTGTATATATATACATAGCAAACTGTTGGTTTTTTTTCATACAAGTGAAGTTTTGAATTTAATTTTGTTTTCAGGTAAATAATTGTCTCGCCAGTGCTATGGTTCCCAACGATAGAACACAGGCTGTTGCAGAAGTAATGATTCTTGAACATAGTGATGAGAAAGACTTGTTCTTCTTTCCAGGATTAAAAGAAGTTCCAATGATTGGTATTGAAAATGTCATTCATATTAAAAAAAAAAAATATTATTCAAACCCATATCATTGAAAAGTAATTTCACCAAACTGCAACATAATGCTTTAATGATACTCATTACACATGATAACACTACATGAACAATACACAAAACATATAAATCTACTATTTTGACAGACGACGGCATGTATTAAATAACCTTCTGGTATATTTTGAATATGTTATTGTCCGTCCCATGATCGTCGTAAAGTGATTTTTTAAAGAATAACTTGCAATAACAGAAACAGCAAACTGGATTGCAAATTTGTAAAGAACAATGTATGTTCTTTGGACATCAATGTATATCGTTTTGACTACATTTAGCATCATTCACTGTAATTTCTAACATGCTTTTTCAATCTCAGAATGCAATATAGTTGTTTTCATGGTGACAAATGATGTTAGAACAAACGTAGATGGGGTTTCAACAGAAGTGAATGCATTTGCCCAAAAAATTGTAAAGATTTTGTTTTTAAATAATTTATACATAATAATTAAAACAAAATGGAACAGCATACATGTATAGATATTTATAAAACATATTATATAGAAACAATGTACTGAAAAATTATCATGGGTTAGTTTTGATTTGATCATCTTAAATTTTTTGTGTTAACTGCTGATATGTTTACTGTTTCTTTAAGTACCTGATTGGCCAGACGTAACAGCTGGTGAATACACAGTGCAGAAGAAAGATGTCAAAACATCTGAATGGGATTTCTACTATAACAAACAAAATGAAAAGGTATTGAGTGTCATATTAATGCATTATTACAAAATGTATCTTATTAGACCTTAGTTGCCAATTCAAACAAAAACCTGCAATTATTTAATCATAAACAATAGTTTACCTGTTGTTTCCCAAATCCAACAGTACAATCATTGTCTTGGACGAAAAAAAGAAATTGAATAATAGAAATGATGAAATAATTCAAACAAACAACCCTCTAAAATAGTGAACGACCTGCTCAATGGTTCTACCATTGATATTTGTCCGATTTTGCTACAGTCCAGGCCACATTTTTATCCCTTTTTAATATCAAATGAAATGAATAGAACCACATCTTGTTGTAGTTGATTTCCGATTCAACATCGCTACTTTGACATATTTTAACTTCTGCTTTGTTTGATTAAGAAAATCTCTTTTGGAATTGTGACATACTTTTCCTTTGAGTGGTGTTACTCGTGTTCTGGTAATAATTTATTCTAATGATTAATTGATTGTTGGTTGCTTAACGTCCAGTGGCAAATATTTCATGTATGTTCAGGACGAGAACAAATTAACAATACATACAATAGGTAGGTCCTGTAATAGAGGCCGTCCTGGATGAAGGTCGGGGAAATTTGGGCTGACACGGGAAAATGATGGTATATTGGATAGGGACAGAAATATCGCCTTGCAACAGACCACCTACGGATCCCTCAAAGAGTTGTTGCAACGTGGCACTCTCTTTACACGAGGCATCGGATGTGACGTCCCCATTCTGTCCGGACGTGGCTGCGAACTTGTACATCCCGCACAGTCAAATGAACGCCCCTCTTTGTCGAGGGTTTTACTGCCGGTCGGAGGAAGACCAATGATGACCATATTTCTATTCTCCAGTCACCCTTGGATTTTTTTTGTATTTTATTTATTTTAATATAAATATATATGAATATAGTATTCTATAAAATAAACAAGATCACTCAGCAGATAAAATTGAAAATAAATGGTGAATGCAGTTCCTTGTTCTAATACTAAGCTGATAACCCTGTTATATGTATGAGTGGAATTGCATAATCAGCTTATAACACTCCTCTAGTTTTATGTGACAAAGATAAGATTCTTGTAAATATTCCAGCCTGTTTATGCCCCGGTTTACTGACCATAGAAAAGAAATAATATGAAACCAGTCCATTCTTATGTTAAAGTTAGTGGTCAAGGTAGTTAACAATGAAAAGTTAACAATGAAGTTGTGACCAATCAACTGGAAAGTTAGAACATTACATTGTGTATTTTGATTCGATTTTTTATATGTTATGCCATATAACGGTTTTTACTATAATTATAACATGGAAATATGATAATGCGAGTGGAGCAGGTTAGCATATGAGCACATAATTATGTTTTGATAAGTTTTAAAAAAATATATCGATTTATGGTGCTGCTTAAACACAGATTTGACAAAAATTATCTTCGTTTTACTACTGAATCCATTAAGTTTCCGTGCACTTCACACATATTTATGGCATAATCTCAACCATTTTCGTCAAAAATTTCATCTGTAAGATCAAATACTTAATATACTTAATCCAAAAAGGATTCGAAAGTAGTGAACGTTCTGTTTTGTAGTTTTCAACCTAACTTGTATTAAACTTATATAATTTATCACATTGCAATTTTCTATCAAAATGTTAAATATGCATTGAATAAGTGGTATGTTTTACTACAATGTCAAAGTCTTTAATGTTTGAAAAAATGGAAATGGTGGTAATGTGGCCAATGGTATAACTTAGCAGAACTTCTTGTAAAGGACTACCCTTTTAGTTATCAAATGTCCATATATTAAGAGAGTTTGTTCATTTTTATTGAAAATGTGCAGCTTACTGGGTTTTGATATTTTTCATTTGTTTCCAATGATAGTATTAATTAAGTCACTGTTGATTTTGGCAACATTTTTGGTACTGAACTACTCTATAGTCTAAACACTCAATTTTCAAAATATAAAGACTGTTTATGATATTCATATTGTTTACACATTTGGAGACCTAGTGGAGATTTGCATGGAGGTGTCAATTTTCAGCAGCCTCCTTATTCGTTGGTAGTCCAACAGTTTAAACCCACTGCCTTGTGGATTAGTATTAAAAATGTGCAACTCACGTCAAACACTAATTGAACCGTAACTGTTTTGAAGATTTACTCAATGAAAAGTGCAAACAGAGGGAAGTTTATTTTGATATCTAATGCTCAGTGTATACCATGTCTAGACAGCCAGAACGAACAAGACAAGAAGAAGGCGAAGAGATGTGAAGAGAGATATTCAGAATGTATCATGAATTCAGACTTTGATAAATCCAACATGAGTCAGCTATTGAAATACATGGGATATGATTTCAAAGGTGGCGACCAGGTTAAGAACTTAACAAAAGAGGTATATCATTACAATTATTTTTTTTAATTTTACCTTACTGTTTATCGAGCGCCGCTGACGAGTCTAATGAAGACGAAACGCGCGTTTGGCGTACCAAATCATAAGCTCGGTATGGTTGATGCAACTGATGGTGGAACTTTCGTTCCAAGGTATCACCAGCCCAGTAGTTAACTTTTCTATGACGACGTTAAATATCATTGATATGTTCATTTTCTGTATATTCACTGAATATAAAATATTGAACTATTTGAACCTCTTAGGTTTTTCTTACTTTCTAAATTGTCATACTCGTATTTTGCACAACTTTTCAGAATTTTTGGATTTCAGTGCTCTTCAACTTTGTATTTTATTTAGCATTACAACTTTACTTTTTTTTCATTCTAGCGCAACTGATGAGTTATGTAGGCAAAACGTACGTCCGAAGTACGAAATTGTAAGGGTGGAATTTTAATGAGTTTATATTTTAATTTGATTTGATTAGAATACACATGTGTGCCGTTATGTGGTGTTGACCATAAAGTACTGTCATTTTAATTTGTCCCACTTTGAGCTTCGAGCATTTGTTGAACTATTGTTGTGTGAAAGCAACACCACCCAGACCGTTATACAAAAATATCTTTTATTTAGGTAGGATTGATTGACATTATTAGACAATCATTTCGATCATACTAATTTTACGAAGTTTGTGGGACTTTAACAACTTATGGAATATAGTGAAAATAACACTTTGTGAATGCAACTCCTCTGAGACCAAAAAGATCTCATACTTGTCACTGTTGTTTGCGATCATTTGTATTTCACCATATACAGTGTAGTTCCGCTATATTAATTTGACCGTTTTACAGTAGAAATGGGACTTTGTTGGACTTTGAACACTTGTTGAAGTGTTTTAACAACAACACCTTGTGAACGCAATTCCTCAGAGACGGTTTTATAGAAAGCTATTATACCAGATACTTTTGATTGCAATCATGTGCAGTAACGATATTATACCGTCCATTTTATCTGACCATTTTAACGAGAGTGTTTGGACTTTCACTATTGCTTGGAGTATTGTAATAGTGTCACCTAGTGACGCAATACATTTAAGACCATTTTATAGAAAGCTTAAGCTCTCTACTTGGTTGGTAGCCATCATGAGCAGATTACGACACTATACCGTCATTTGTATTTGGCAATTTGTATTGAAGTAGGGGACTATATTTTGACTATTGTACCACAACTACACAATGTGACACTCAATTTTATTCCCTACTTATCAGGCGCGGGTGACATTTTGCTACGACATAACAATCTTGTGTTTCTGTATATCGAATTTAATCAAAAACTGATGTTACTCCCTAAAAACAATTTTATTTTTTGCAACTATCATGAAAATAAAGTCGAACGCTAGAAAAAATTATTTCGCCTTTGAAAAAAGTTTAAAAAAAAGTTTGTTTTTTCTATCGCTCACTGCCCTTTTCAAAGGAAGAAGTTCGAAAGAACTGGCAATTAATTCGATATTGCCTAATGATTAAATGTTTAATTGATAGGGTTCAAGTGACCACGACCTCATTTTCATGGTTGAATGGTCTACGGGAAGTTTAAGTTGTGATAATAAGGCCATTTTGTTAGATACTATACGTAAACGTGGACAAAATTATATATATATATATATTTGATGATTATAAAAAAGAACATGTCTGTTTGACTGAGGTCATTTTACCAAATTTCATGTTTCATTGATCAAATATACAAAAATAAGAGGATACCCATGGTGAGACCTTGATCTAAACAAAATTAATGTTATCAATAACACAGGAGAGCCATTTCAGTGTGCAGTTTTGCTTTTAGTGTATAAAAATTAAATAATCAACAATCCTTCAGATTCTTTTTAAGATGAAATTTCTTTTCATGGGGTCTTAACTTTTGCTCCAAAATTAGAAAATAATTGTGCATGATTGGACAACAACAATTAAATGATATGTGAATGTTTTGTGGCACATGTATACCGGAATTCCACAGATTCAACTTTAATCTGTTGGACAAGATAATATAATATTCTGAAGAAAAAAAACACAGGAAAAATCAGGGATCAAATGATTTTCAAAAATACTATATAATAGAAAGTTTATCAACTTAAATTTTGTGATCATCTGAAATGTTTACACATGAATATTTTAAGTCTTGGTCAGAGTTTAAATTATTTTCTAAATATTGTATGCAATAAAAGAGGGGCAAAAAATACCAGAGGGACATTCAAAGTCATATGTTGAAAATAAACTGACAACGCCATGGCTAAAAAAGAAAAAGACAAACAGACAAACAATAGTACACAAAACACAACATAGAAAACTAAAGACTGAACACGAACCCCACCAAAAACTGGGTGTGATCTTAGGTGCTCCGGAAGGGTAAGCAGATCCTGCTCCACATAACTCATACTGTTCAGACATTACACTTGAATCAATCCACTACTGTTTGGTCTCTTTTCAGACAAATCCGTTTTTATAAACTGGTAAATAGCAGCTAAACAGACTGAGCAGATCATACCTCACTGCAATCTTAGACTAAACTAAATTTGCAGCAGGGAATAGTTCTGAACAAGTATTAGAGCTTTACTGTTTAGAAATGTTAGATTGATCTTAACCAAAATGGAGTTTTCATTCATTGTTTGTATTTTACAATTCACGTTTTAAGTAATAGATAAATTTTCTTGTCACTTTTTTAGGAAACCTTACACTACTGAATGTTAAAACATGCTGCACAAATTAACTCTTTTGACACTACTCTTTCTGAAACTAAATAATATATCCTGTGTTTACGGATCTTTATAAATCCACCATTTTCTACATAAGGAAATGCCTGCACCAAGTCAGGAATATTCCAGTTGTTTTCCATTCGTTTGATGTGTTTGAGTTTTTAATTTTGCCATTTGATAAGGGACTTTCCATTTTGAATTTCTTTGGAGTTCGGTATGTTTTATCTATTCAATTATATTTAAAATAATTTATTTAAAGATTTCTAATTTTGCAGGAAATCAAAGAGTTCTTAAAAACGAAATTAATGGAGATCGACAGTGATGCGTCTTCCCAGTATGATAGCCTGGTTATATTGTTTTTGTCTGGGGAAGTAAAGTGCGAAGCTGCAAAGATTTACGACAAAGATGGAGTCTTTCTTCCCAGGAGTGAAATTTTAGACATCATTAAAGAATGTAAACATTTCAAAGGGAAACCAAAAGTTATATTTGTTCAAACCTACAGTTTCCAAGGTACTATCTTTGTAATACTTCTTTAAATAATGACAAGTATAAGCTTTTAATACCCTTGCGATAACAAAAATGTCTTGGTTGAAGCTTTTTATACAAAGATATATTTTGGATTTGATTAGATAGGCTTAACTAGTATATAGATAAATATACAGACACTTTTTTATTTGATAAATGGACTTTTAATTAAACGATTTATATTAACACAAATATAAATGTTGTAAATAAGAATAATCTTAGCAACAGGAATAATCTGTAAAAATATAAATAAATTGTTATTCTAGTTGAATAGATGTTATACAAAAATTCAAAGTTATGAAAATAATTTAATGCTTTGAAAACACCTTTTTCTTTGAGTTTATGTTCACAATTCATAATTTTATATTTCACAGACTCCCAAAAAGCTATAGAATTCTGAGTATATGAATGGTTCTCGAATGTAGTGGAAACTCGTGGAATTGCCCCCTTCCCTCTTTTTTTTAAATGTTTTAAGCAATAATATTTAAATAGTTTTTGGATACAGTAATAGTCTGTTCGTCCGATTACACACACCTATTCTCACAGACCGTTTGGCAAAAAGCTTGAATACTTCGTTGGATTATTTTTCATCAAACTCCTTGACCGTACTATACTGTCAGTTAGATTAGACATTTTTTTACTTGAGTTGTGGAACTCGGACTATTTTCTAAATATGATAACACATGGACACTTTATAAACACAACTCCCCGGAGGCATTTTTACATAAAGCTATCATAGTAGGAGTACATGCCATCAGGTCTTATTAACCGTATTATTACTTCATTTAAATCGATCATTTTTACGGGAGTTATGGAACTGATACTGCTCTATATTCCTGTTCTACAGCTGTATACTATAAACACAGTTTTAGCCCTCATTTACGCATCGGAAAAATTCTTTACGTCGTAGAAATATTGTTATATTTTGATGTACATGAAGGATTGTGTAAAGTAAATTATGCAATTTGATTACTTTTTAATATATTTCTTTGATATGTAGTATTCAGTTATTGTGCTATTATTTTCCGGAACTGGTTTCATTGTGTGATAATTATTTTATCTTTTGCAATTTCATTAATAGAGATTGAAAAAGGAGGGGGGATTCTCAGAAAATCACTTGTCGATTGTCGAAGAACATTCATTTACTTCTGGATTCCTTTCTTTTGTGTTGTTGGATTGCTGTATCATTTACACAAACACCTCATGTTCATGCTAAGCATTTTATACAAAACAAGATGATATGTAGAAAGTCTTATAACAACAACACTTTAGGGACTGCTGCAGAAAATGTATTGATCGACATGTTTCGGTGCTTAAGGCACCGTCATCAGGATAAAAACAATACAGAAAATTGCGCCACAATTGAACACAAAAAACAAGATAATGTTATATATAGATTATCTATAGAGCTTTAGTCAAATTACTTTGAAGTGCACCCTGATTAAAAAGGCTATTTATAATAAACCTGTATTTTTAAAGTGGTTATATTTTATTTCAGAAGAAAATGAACCTTTGGATCAAAGAGATTCTACAGCTAATGATATCATCAAGAAAGGTGGGCCAAACACTGATGACATATTTATGGTATCAAGTTACCCAAGAATAGGTAATGATACATATGGGCTAGTACTTCATACGGACAGTAGTTTAAATCAATCATTTTAACTAGCTAGATATTAAGTCATGTAAATTTATAAGTGGACTAATTTGACTTGTTTATGTTTGGATTACCATTCGCCTCCATCTTTTGCTTTACTGAATGTAATAGTCCATTTTGATTTGATATTAAGAATGATAAGTGTTTTTCATAATAATAAAAATGTTGAATAAAGCCATGTTAAATACATGTTCTATCTCGATAAATTAAAAACAGGAGAAAGGGTATCTAATTTTTGCATATATCACTTTGTTGGTGTAAACAAGTTAGATTTAAACCATTCTTTTTATTCCTGTAATTAGATATATAAGAAGTTGTGGTATGAGTTCCAATGAGACAACTCTCCATTCAAGTCACAATTTGTAAAAGTAAACCATTATAGGTAAAAGTACGCCTTCAACACGGAGCCTTGGCTCACTCCGAACAGCAAGCTATAAAGGGCCCAAAAATGACAAGTGTAAGACCATTCAAACAGGAAAAATGTAATGTACAATTTTTTTTAAATGATGCAAAATGTGACAGACAGTAACATGCATTAGTGTCAAAAGCAGTGTATTGATGTTAGGATCTCTTAAATTAATATTGGATGTACATAATAGTATAAACAATTACAAAACCTAAAGGAATTGCATGCTCATCTACTACAAATTGATTAAGACATGGTGCACCGTAAGGTTAAGTGGCATTTGCTATGTATGTAATTCCTGCCGTGTAAATTCGCAATCGGTAAAACCTGTACGAAATGTGACGCCTGGAAATGAGACGGAAACCAGGCGTAGAAATCATACTTTATCCTGGCGTCATTGCAGTGTTTAAGGAATGCATGTCCAGGCGTCAACCAGGCGTAAACCAGGCGGAAACCAAGCGTAACTGAGGCGGAAACCAGGCGTAAAATTAGGCGTAATATTTAAATGAGTACGCCTGGTTGACAAAAAACCAGGCGTAATATGCAAATGAGTACGCCTGGTCAATAAATAAACCAGGCGTAATGTCCTTAATTTAAATCAGTGTATTACCCTAGCTGTGTACTTTGTGTATTTGATATAAACTTGTACTGTTGCTTAAAGTTCTCACTGTTCGACATAAAACTTGAAATATTAACCATTGAAAAAACTATATAAATAAATACATATTAGACAGACACTGGATCAATTAAGTTTAAGTTTAAATAAGAATTATGACATTTAAAATTTCTTGAAATAAAACTAGCATTTTGACTAAGTATAATTTGTTTTGAAAATTAATGTAATTAAAACTAAAAAAATTAATGATAATACTGTAATTGAACTTTTGAAAGATTTAAATGTTATTATCCAAGGATGAGTGTTTCCAGAATTTAAAATTAATGGTAAAAAATAAAAAAATAATAACTTAGTTACTCACATAATTATTATTTACCATGGCCATGTATACTACTTTCCTTTCATTTCACAATTTTCATTCATCAATTTGATTCCATAATTCCAATTTCAAATTCTTTCAAAAAGCACTAAAAAGCTAATTTCCCCTGAATATATCAAGCTGCCATATGTCCAACTCTTGCAAGCTAATACCAGAGAGCCAAATTTTGAAAAAATTTCCCATGATCCTCTAAACAAAGCAGTGTTACGTCCGTAGGAAAATTTACGCCTGGCTTATTTCAATTTACGCTAGGTTTACCACTTTTTTCTACGCCTGTAAATGCTACAAATTTACGTTTCCTGCTCCATTACGCCTTGATCTGGACACGTAACTACCACTTACGCCTTGTTTACGCCAGATTTCTAGGCGTAATACGCCTTATAATTTCGTACGGGAAATGTCATAATAAGGAATAGGAGACAATAGATTAATTTATATATCTTACGACTCTTCTGGGAATTAAGGATCTAAAACCACATGTCGCTTGTCAGTTTAGACACAGATAAGATGTATTGGTCAGCCAATTGGAGATGATATCATTAATACTTATGTAGTGGACATATCATTTGTTCTTCATCTTAACCCTTCTTGTGTCAAGAGTCAGGAGAACACCTTTACACTAGAATATGATTTCTCATTTGTTCTTCATCATAACCCTTCTTGTGTCAAGAGTCAGGAGAACACCTTTATACTAGTATATGTTTTCTCATTTATTCTTCGTCATAACTCTTCTGTGTCAAGAGTCGGGAGAACACCTTTACACTAGAATATGACTATATTCAGTATGTATACTAAAGAAATTTATCCTGTTGAACTTACTTTAAATAAAGCTAATACTAACAATGACCACTGCCCTTTCCTCGATCTTAATATCTATATCATTAACGGAAAGCTTAATACTAAAATATATGATAAAAGAGATGATTTTTCATTTCCTATCGTTAATTATCCATTTTTAGATGGTGACGTTCCCTTGTCACCATCTTACGGTGTTTATATATCTCAACTTGTACGATTCGCTCGTGTATGTAACAATGTTTTAGATTTTAACGAGAGAAATTTATGTATTACTGAAAGATTATTACACCAGGGTTTTCGATATCACAAACTAGTCAAAACATTTACTAAATTTTATCATCGGTATAAGGACATCATTCGTAAATATAGCTCAACATGCAGACTTCTTATACGTTCAGGTATTTCACATCCAATTTTTTATGGAAATATTCTTTATAAAGCACAAAAATGTCAGTATTCACCTCTGAAACTAACAAAACCTTTAAATAGACTTATTAAGAAGGGATATAGTTACGATACTGTTGTCAGGTCATTAAAGATTGCATATTTTGGCGTTAATATTGATTCACTTATAGGGTCTTTGCATCGGCACTAAACACATTTATTTAAAAACCAGTTGTTGGCATGACACGGGTTATGTTCTTCTCATATATGTTATGATGGTATGATACTAAACCCCTAACGGGAAGGATTGCGCCTGATATTCATATGATGAAGACATAATCTTTCAATCAGTTTAATTGAAGTCTGGAGCTGGCATGTCAGTTAACTGCTAGTAGTCTGTTGTTATTTATGTATTATTGTCATTTTGTTTATTTTCTTTGGTTACATCTTCTGACATCAGACTCGGACTTCTCTTGAACTGAATTTTAATGTGCGTATTGTTATGCGTTTACTTTTCTACATTGGCTAGAGGTATAGGGGAGGGTTGAGATCTCATAAACATGTTTAACCCCGCCGCATTTTTGCGCCTGTCCCAAGTCAGGAGCCTCTAGCCTTTGTTAGTCTTGTATTATTTTTAATTTTAGTTTCTTGTGTACAATTTGGAGTTTAGTATGGCGTTCATTATCACTGAACTAGTATATATATTTGTTTAGGGGCCAGCTGAAGGACGCCTCCGGGTGCGGGAATTTCTCGCTGCATTGAAGACCTGTTGGTGGCCTTCTGCTGTTGTCTGTTCTGTGGTCGGGTTGTTGTCTCTTTGACACATTCCCCATTTCCATTCTCAATTTTATTTACCTTTATACTAATATATGTTTACTCATGTGTTCTTCGTCATAACCCTTCTTGTGCCAAGAGTCAGCTGAACATCTTTATACAAGTATATGTTTTCTCGTTTGTTCTTCATTATAACCCTTCTTGTGTTAAGAGTCAGATGAACATCTTGAAATGAAAAATTGAAATGGTCACATTTATCACGGATGCTAGCTCGAAGTCTTTCATTTGTGTAAGTTTCAAGACTTTGTACAGTTTTGATTTTATCCTTTATTTCAAGTTTACTGTGGAAAATTACTATGGGATATTCAGTGACAGGACATCATTTATATATCCTTTGAAAGTGAAATTAAAGAAGTAAGTAAGTTGAAAGTGCAAGTGGGGCAGGGACACAAATCTTTTAATTGATCAAAGTAGTGAAGATCATAGGGAACAATATACGTTTTGATATCATTTCATAAAACTTTTTATCAAAATTAAATTAAAAATTTTAATTTCTGAACCTGACAATAGATATACAAGTTAAATGATCTCTTTATTTTTTGAATGATCAAGGTTTTTTAGATTTTTTTCTTTTATCTTGATTGGTACTGGAAAATGAAGATTTCTCAATAATTTAAGTTTTGAATAATCTCTTAAAATAATGACATCGATGCCATTAATTACAATTAAGATTGTTTAAAAGTCTGCTATTGTATTACTGCCGACTTTTTCGTTTGGTGATTTATACAAGTAAGTGGCTGATTTTCAGAGATCCACACTTGTTTGCCTAGGCTAATAGTTAGAATTATTCTTTACAGAGCATGGTCCATGGATAATTGGTGAAAAGGTGATTGGATCATACTTCATTCAGGCACTCGCACATGTGTTCAAGAACTTCGCATATAAAAAATCATTTATGGAATTAATGAAAGAGGTATTTAATGATTATAAACCAAATGCTAGAAATATGTAAAAATATCAAATATCATAAAGGTCACTCAGTGTAAATATTTAAAGTACAGGAATGCTGGCAATCATTCGTTTGGGCATTTTATATTGATATTGGAACTGGATAATGGCAGCAAACTAGTTATGCTATTGATTCCATTTATTGCCATTATTCTTATGCTAGCATGACTGAAGCTGTTTGTCCTCCCCGTTGTATGTCTGTCCAATATACATAACATGGTATATGGGTCTCGCGTTTACAGATTTTCAAGGAATAACAGTTATATCATGCAAATCTTTATACCTTTATTATCAATGTTTTATTCGGTTTACCAAAAAGCACAGGTGCTGAGTTAGAAATAGTGCAGTTGCTTACATTTAGAATTATATTACTACGTAACAGTCCATTTATAATGACTTTTCACGTGATACATAGAATCTATAGAATTTTCAGCTTTTTGTTTTACATGGGTCTCATTTTTTTTTTTGCTAAGACGTTTGTTAAGTGGACACAGAACTGATCATATCCTTTTTGTTTTATTAAGATTAATATAATTTAACCACTTGTTAACTTTGCAAAGTTAAGTTATGAAGTGGGAAAGGAACAATAATATACTATAGGCTATATGATGCAAGAACTATTGTGGTGGCATCAGTTGTGTGTTTTGTGCACACTCATTTCATGTTCTGCTTTTATGTTCTTAATGTAATGTTTGCGCACTATATTTAAGCATACCACAGGGGGTTCATATTTGTCTCTCTGATATTTGAATTAATATTGTTTAACTAAATATTAAGTAATAATTATTAAATTAGTTGAATGACTTCTTTTAGTGCAAAGGCTTTCTGGTTGGTTTGTCATATTATATCTGTCTTCTCTTCTGACTTTTTAACTAGCTGTGTAGCTCCTTCGGTAGTCTTTTGATGCCTTGATCTTGTAGGATTTTTAGCGAGCAGTCATTGCCGGTGAAATAGCATGTTATGCACATTTATAACAGATATAGACACAGTATTATCAATATCATTAAAACACAAAATCCAGCATCAGAAAATATAACTATCATTATCATTAAAACAGAAAATCCAGCAGAAGAAAATGATGACCCTAAACTAACTAAAAGGATAAGGAACACTAAATGGAAGGAATTTATTGTTTTTTTAAAGACTTGAATTACTGTCATTTGTTTTATTAGGCTTCGAAACTGTAGAATTATCAGTATATTGCGATAGACTCTTTTTATTATTTGTAATATTCTGATCTCCTTTCATTCCAACAATTGTTCTTTGATATAACTGTTTTCAATCATGTTTTCATAGACATAAATCCGATGCTGAATCCATTGCATTGCAAAATGGGTTGGCAGTATTACAACTCTTGGAAAACCCAAGATGTTTGTAGCTAAGAGTAATACTAGTTCTTTTGCATTAAAAAAAACTCTGGAGTAATTTTCATTTGATCTTTACAGGCGAACATATGTCTGGGCCAAGCTGTGATTCCAAAGCTGACAGACGATGGAAAAAACAGTGGGACGGTAGAGAAAAAACCTGTTGCACAAATTGTCTTATTAGAATATTCGGAAGGGAAAGAACTTTACTTTTTTCCAGGGCTTGAGTTTTCAGCAACAGATTTTATAGGCGTCGAACCTGTAAATTTTTCTGCTTCAATGACTGGGAAACCAGTTTCTACAGTATCAAATTAAAGTTACTCTATAAGCTACACTTCATGCGGTTAAAATATGTTATGTTAGAAAATATCGCTTCTTGACTAAATAACGCTTACTTTTATTGGCATCTTGTATGAGATAAACGATAACAATTTAGTAGATTATGTATGATAAGTGCTATTATTTATAATAATATAATAGCATAATAATTATAATTATAATAATAGTAGTGATAATGAATTATTTGTTCAAAGAATAAATAAACACAGTTAGTTACAACAAACTAATCTTTCCTGAGGCTATCACACGCAATACAATTATAACAGATATTGACACATAGTTAATTTACCATCAAGTAGTTCAATGTATCAATATAAAACATTAAACATTTAAAGAGGAACATGTAGTAAAATATAAACAAAATATAATATACAACTTGAACATGCATGGCAAAATCATTAACACACATTATTCATCCCTTTCATCAGTATACTTCACTGGTAAATAAATAAGGTGAGGTTATTTTAGTGCAAAAGAACATTCTGTGATGCCATTATCATGTCAAAGCTGAAAAATATTTGACAGAAATTGCCTTTTATTTATATTTTTTTATGTAATCAAATATGACCAAAAGTCCTAACTAGAATGTTTGTTTCTAACAATATCATCAGTATGTGAGACAGCTTTCGGCAAAATGTCTTTCTGGGTGAACATTTAGCTAAAATCTTAATACTAACGACAACCTCTGAAAATTAGGCTACTTTGGCAGTCTTTCCTTAAACACTATCTTTGAAATAAAAAAATATATATAGATCTGATTACTTATATTTGCCAGATGTAATTTGATAGATTTATCTTTTTTCGATTGTAACGCCATATGGTGCCTTATCTTACCGTTTCTTTACCAGCATAATATATGACTTACATCGTAATTTTAATAAAATTATAGTTACTTTTTTATACGGAAGTCAGTTTATATATATGATTATTATAAATAGATTTAATTTGTAAGGTTACTGACTTTCTATTTAAGGAATGACTGTAATATTTTTTTTGTCTATGAAGAAATAACATCAAAAATTTGGTGCACACTGAATAACGCGCGTAGCGGGTTATTTTAAAGTGTGCACCACATTTTTTATGTTATTTCGAATAGACAGAAAAAATATTACAGTCATTTCTTATAATTTAATTCTAATTCCAATTTAAACCGGAGTAAACCATGAAAAAACGTTGATGACGTCACGGTCACATGACAAAATTATGTCTATGAGCTGATAAACAAAACAACGTTAGCCAAATAAGAAGACGCGTTACATCCAAAATTAAATTATTTGACTATAGACCTTTTGTTATTTTATATGATGAATAATAATTGTTTACCTTTTAAAGCGCATTGGAAATAATGTATCGATGCCTTAACATACTTAAGTTTTCTATGTTGTGTTTTGAGTACTATTGTTTGTCTGTTGGTCTTTTTCTTTTTTAGCCATGGCGTTGTCAGTTTATTTTCGACTTCTGAGTTTTATTATTTGGTATCTCTTATACTATAAGTTATATGGTTTGCTACTGACCCCACGCGGATCCATAGAGGGTTAGTAAAATCCATAGGGGGTGAAGCCGAAGGCCGAATCTCATATGGATTTTACTCACCCTCTGTGTGTCCGTAGGGGGTCAGTGGTGAACCGTATGACGAATTTATCGCAAATGGGACTTTTTCTGCTAATTATTTTATAAAAATAAGCAATGAAATACAATAACATTAATCGGTGACGTCACTATTACTAGTGAATGTGACGTCATGAACCCCATATGAAATCTACTGACCCCATACAGATCCATAGGGGTCACCACGTGACGGCGTTAAACCAATCATAACGTCATAATTTATCCGAGGTGCGATAAAGCTAAATATTAGACAACAATCACTATGATAAAAGCTTAAAATGAAATTTGAAATTATTTGAATAATGTGTGCCTGTGATGTGATAAAGCTATTATTGAGTTTATTTAAAATAGTACAAGGTTTATTACATGAACTAATGGTTTAACTAATGAGTTATTTGAAGTCTCACTTACGTATATAACTATTTCATGAATATGAGTATCTTGATTAAATGAATTTCTTTTATTTTTATTTTTTAGTTTCTTATGCACAAAACTTTTACAGATATATAAAAGACCACAAGCAACTTCATAAGTATTACATCATAAATGAAAGTATTGCCTTTGAAGGATGTTATTACATTTTTGTGCGCTTTGCTGGAAACATTTTTCATATATTATTTATACGATTCAAGCAATTTGTGCAAAATTGACAGGTGAGCGAGAAACACTTTAAAAGAATTTTGTAAAAACAGGAAATGAAAAAAGCAGACTTGGTGTCTGTATTTTTGACGATTTTTACTTTCGTCTTTTCAGAGTTAATTTTATTCAATTTTCGAAAAAATAAACACAATTTCAAATTCCAAGCACTAGTTTCATTGTATTTGGATTATATCTATAGCATTGTAGTTTATGGTCACATATTATTTTAATGTTTAAGAAATTTATGGCGGATTACTGGTATTTATAAGTAATTTAGTTTTGCTTCATGTACTTAATTTTCAGCTATTGTTTTTAACTGTAATATCATTGTAATGTGTAATAAATAATGCATCAATCTTTGCATTGCATTTAATAAATTAATGTATGTTGTTTCATTTATTACTGTTCATGTTAATTTTGACGTACCTTAGTAGTGAAGTTGATTCATTTCACTTCAACGGACGAGACTAAAATCGTACAATGAATCCTTGTTTATCCTACATATTACTTGTTGCAGCACTCTTGTTTTGACAAGCACGCAGCTTCTTTATTGATAGGTTATATTAACATTAAACAAGCTCATCTTTACACAGGAATAATGATTTAAAAAATGGCTTATCTAACATGCAAACCTGTATGTGTTTGTAATACCGATAATGCATCAATAGATCAACGCTTGACAAACATGTAGATACCAGGGGAACAACTTTGTCTCATATAATTTTAAAGACAAATTTGTATTATCTTACATGTGCAGGGAGGTCCCTACTCTGACTAGAAAACTGCAGAACATTTTTTAAATATTTACGACCAGAGACTGTGTATATTTGTTAATACTATTGGTTATAACTTTTCACATAACTGAGGAGAAATGTAGTCCACTACATATAATACAATTAAATATATGTTCTATACAATACTTATATTTATTGTACAAATCATAAAAACACTTAATATTCGAATATTACACCCTCTTTGGCGTGCTCTAAATCGAACACTGGAAATTAAAATGAAACAATTTCGAAAGCCAATAACCCAAAACCTTCTTGAATATAACATAAGTAGAAATGTTAATGTTAATTTGCTTATATAATGCCGATGGTAATGTTTTTACCCATGACTACGCTGGTGTCTTAAAGAAGTATTAAATAAGCTCATTACATTTACATTACTGTAGGCTGGACTTGACAAATTTCCTACTCCTTTGATGTTATCATTGCAACCATATGGCATTGCAGTACCTAGTTCCCTCATCCAAAAATGTTTCTATCTTTTCGGAAAGGAGTACTTTGTATAGAGCTATTGGTGTGGTGATACATTTTCTCGGTGATGCGTAATTTCATAGATAAACAAGGATCATGATCCGGTGGATTAAAATGGTAATAAAGAACCCTAAGTTGCGCATCTTTATTATCAGACCGGTGTTGATTCATCCTTTTACACAAATTTTGTCGAGTTTCACCAACATAAAGTAATCCACTCAAAATACATTCAATTCCGTAAACGACATTGTCTGTGGAACAGTCCAGAGGTTCAAAAGATTTTGTAAAATAAGTTTTTCCTGGCAACTAGTGATTAACATATTACATTCTTACACGTGCTCCTCTTTCCTTTTATATGTTTAAAAGTAGAAATGATAGGAGTTGATTAATTTGAAGCAGGTGCCTATAAGCAGTCGAAAATATCAACGGTACATGGGTTTAATTTTTGAAAAGTATCTGAATTTTTAAAGTAATAATTACCTTCTGGCTGTACATAAATCAAATTAGGGGTATCCCGGAGGATATTTCGTGGAACACACAAATCGAATGCTACAGTTTTCCGTGTAGCAGGAGAGGACCTTGGTAACCCGGGCGACGTCCTAGCCGGTTTGTTCTTTGTATTCCTTGTATTCATCATGCATTAAGCTACCAAGTTAATGATGCCCCCAGGGAATAATCCACCAGCAGTAAAGTTTCTTCTAGGAAGAAATTTGACATCGACTTGGTTGTAGTAAAAAGTAAAATAACAAAAATAACAAACTCCAAGGAAAATTCATATCGGAAAGTCCTTTATCAAATGGCAAAATCAAAAGCTCAAACGCATCAAACGTATGGAAGACAACTATCATTTTCCTGACTTGGTACAGGCATTTCCTTATGTAGAAAATGGTGGATTAAACCTGGTTTAATAGCTAGCTAAATCTCTCACTTGTATGACAGTCGTTAAAGCAAAAGCAAGTTAATACCAATAATATTATGGAAACACAGAGCTGCATATACCAATACATAGACTGAAATATAACATGTAAAATAAAAAATACCAGTAGGCGATAAGACTATAAAAACATGCTGTGGTAGGTGATTCTGGTGTATGCATAATATACTGCTTTTACAAAGAAGGTTTGGATCTCCTGTTAAAGCTGATAGTGTTTCAAAGTTTAATGTGAAAATAGTGTCATTCAAAGTTTCGATTTAACAAAATTTGATTAGTTATGTTCATGAGTATTTTTGTTTGAATATGATAAAGGTTGGTTTTCTGTTTCCAGCATATTGTAATGGACTCTAGTTAATTAATGTATGTCTTAAACGCGGTGATCTGAAAAAATCAAAAATTTTAATCATTGGGTCATGTTCGGTCTTTCAGTCTGTACTGCTCATCAGCTTTTCGGACAATTCAGTATGACATTGCAATTGATGTATACAGGTAAAAAATACTGAACAGAATGAACATAGACTGAACAGATCTTAATTGACATCAAACATTTTGTCTGAACATTTAACGTAGTGAGTGGATATGCCTCATAATTGACCGACAGACTTGAATAACCTACTAATTTGTTGATCAGTCTTTTAAGAGTTGTTAAGACCAAAATGACGTTAAAGATCAAAATTGGTTTACTGGTTGTCTTCATTCACGTTTTAAAGGGGCGTTAGCTGTCAAATTCATGTTCACCGATTTGACTCAAATTCTCATATTTGATTAATAACATACTAAAACGTATATCCAAATAATAAAAAGTCTAAAATAAACAATTTACAATGCACTGATTCGATAATATGTAGCAGCATTTTGTTTGTATTTTAGTCCAGACGTAATCTACTTAACCATCGAGGTGACCTCCGAAGACTGCCGACTGTCATATAACCCTATAAA